CAATAAAATGATAAAGGCAATAGAACTGAACTACACAGGTCCTCTTCCTCACTCTTCAGGTATCAGGTAGTCAACAAATAAGAACTTCGGCAATGAAAATATTTCTGCTCGTAAAACAGTTATTTTACATCTAGCTTTACGGAGAAGAAAATATTGACCATTATCACCATCCTCCTTAATTAATTTTAAAACTACTTACAGGTAAATTAAATAGGCTTGAATTATACACACTTTCCAATATTTCATTCCACTATGGGTGCCCAAAAAGAGGTAGCATGACTCATCACTGTTTTTGAGGGAGTGGCACATAATTACTGCATTTTCAATTTTGGAAGGGAACCATATTTTTGTGTAGTTTCGATTTGGAGAAACTTTTAAACGATGGAACAAGTGGACAAACAAGGAACATATCACATAAAGCATAATATTGTATATAAGAGTATATAATGAGTCGTGTGCCATCATCGGCGGATCTACTGGGGGAGAATAAGCTTTTGGGCTGAAAACCTCCAAAATGGACACTTTTTTTTTCATTAGTCCATATTTATTACTACGAGTCACTTACGGATCCAGGATTTCATTTTCGGAGAAAGGGGGCTTCAGCCCGAAAGTTTTTTTTTTTGCATATATTACGATAATTACTTCGGAAGAAAGAAAGAAACTAAGTACGTTTATGAAGTGGTGCTTAAGTGATTCTCAAAGTCCTATTAAATGTAATTAGACGAACAATAATACTTTTAGAGATAATTTTTTTCATAATTCATGGTTATATTTTACGATTTTGGGGAGGAGGGCTTCAGCCCGAAAGTTCCCGCCGTCGATCCGGCTGTGCTACGAGTGATGAAGCTAAATACATAAACAATAACAATATGTTCTAGTTTTCAAATTATAATACATAATCAGCTAATAAATATAACCATATCTTAAAAAAAGTATATATAATATCTCTAAATGTCATCATCATTGTTCGACCAAGACTTAAATACAATTAAATACCAATTAAATACAATTCCATAGAGGTAGTTAATTTCTTCTTTTGGGAGCACTAATCACAGAAAACAATGAAGCGATGGCAGAATTAAAAGCAAGGATAAGTGCTGTTTTGCAATGCGATAAATATTAAATTACAGATCTCTTTCTTACAGAACAAGGTTCACGGTGTATGAGAAAGTCATCAGGCTCTGAGACTTGGGTGATCTCGAAAGCATCGGAAAAAAGGCTTCTCGCATGGGAGAGAAGGGTTCTCCGCAGGATCTACGGCCCGATGTGCGAACAGGGACTATGGAGAATTCGGACTAATAAAGAACTGTATTAAATGTATGCGAAGCCGGATTATTTACTTTTTCTTCCAAAGTAATTATCATTATATTTATAAAAATAACTTTCGGACTGAAGCTCTTCCAAAATATAATAGTCGATCCGCTACTTAATCATTCTATTTAAATGGTAAGAACTAATAGTGGCTCAAGTTTGCAAAGCTTGCAGTTGTAAATAGAGCTGAATATTATTTATTACACAAATCCAGGTAAAAAAATAAAATAAACGCTGAATATTAGAAGTGGATGTTGCATTGACCTCAAAGAATGAACCATCAATCTTATAGCAATTTTATAGCCTTTAAATAGAATGAGGAAGAAGTAATTAAAAAAAAAATTAATATTACGAAAAAAATCCAGAATTGTTTACCAGGATAATCCAGTAAAAATCATTGGAAGGAACGGAAACACCAAGTGATAATTCGTAAAATACATCTCTTTACTCGAATAATAATAATATGCTTTATTTATTCTGGTTAAGAATAAAGTCCTTTTAGAATAATACAATTGAGGGCTTTATAGCCTCAGGGGTTTATAAAAATAAAATAAACAAATAGAAATATATAAGTCAACTTCTAACATTGATCAATTAAAAATAAAAAAGATACTTAAAAACAAGTTAATAATTTATATATATATATATTTAAAGAAAAACTATTTACAACTGTTTGGAAACTGGATGGATAGGAGTAGGGTATAGGGAAAGGTGAGTAGGGTATTGGAATTACGGATGTAGGAGGGAATGGAATTCTATAGCGAAGAAGATCGAAGGGCCATAAAAATAGATTAATTAATAGGTAGTTTTTACTTTCCTACCCATTCCTAGGTAAGGAAAGTATTGCAATCGGGTCAAATTTCCTATATGTGGTTTTTGACGGATCTACACGTTTCAGAGCTATAAAAACACATTTTTAGCCATTGGTCTGTCTGTCTGTGCCAAGATTTTTTCGGGAACTATTAAAACGGTTTTGATGCTTCTTTTTTTATTTTGTAGCTTCACTATTTCCTCTACTTTTAACAGAAAATATTTTTTGCCAATACTAAGCTATGGCAAAAAGTTTTTGATCAGCAATTGAAGTATCAAAAATTTTTGAGAGTATTGAAATGTTTACACTGATCTACCTTACGGCGGTTTACATTGCCTTAGTTTATCAAATAAATCGCACTAAAATCATTTCTTTGATCAATTTTCAGGAAAATAAATCCAGTTAAATTTTGTTTTGTTTCTTCATGAACATATTTAAAGATATAAAAACTTTTCCGAAATAAGTAGGAAAGTCGTGTGAGTGGACGCACCAGATTTTTGTTCTGTAAGCTTTCTAGAAGATTTTCGACAAGTACTAAAGATTATTTTTGACCCTTTCCTCCGTTATAGCGAATTTTCAGATCACATTTATTTATATATTATCTATTCAAATTAAGAAGCAATAAATAGTAATATATGGTTGTTATTTAGGTTTTTAAAGGTGATTATAATTATATTTAAAAAAATGTCTTCGCCATACGAATTAGTTGTTACTGAATGAATAGAAACTATGTAACGAGATCAAAGGCTTGATTTTTTGCCAAAAGCCGTTGTCGTCATTCTTGCACCTACGTCAAGTAGTTTATTCATTTTTAAAACACTCCTTCATAACACATATCCATCATATAGATATAAAACAACGCATTTTTTTGGATTGTTTTAAATATCAAACTAAGTGAAGATATATGTTTGTGTCAGTATTTTACACTGTTTTGTGATAGTATTACCATATGCGTGTAATGCCTGACATAAGTTGATGCTTGTTTTTTTAACACTCTAATTTATCTTCAAAATATGTTTTAAAATTATTGTCTTATAACATGATCTTAAAAAATAAATATACGTCTGACATCCCATCACGTCATCTCATTACGTCTGACATCTCATCACAAAGCAGCCACCACCAAATTGTCAACACTGCAATAGCCTTCTCACAATCAATCATATTTTCCAAGAATGCACTTATTATACTTTAAGGCTAAATCAATTATCTCTAAAACCGGATGTATCAGCAATATTAAGCAGCAACGAATCAAACATAAAAACAGTGATGAATTTTCTTAAAATACATAGGCTATTAAATAAAATATAATTTTTATTTCATTGTGCTTTCTTTTTTTTAATATTTATTTTAATATATTTCATTTTTTATGTTTTTAAATATCTTTTTCATTTATTACTCGATCTATCTATTATTAATTTTTGATTATTCATTATTTTTTTTATTTCTCCTCGAAAGAATTTACAAATGTAACCGATTCACTGGCGTTGATGACCCTAGAGTTTTACGCCTTAAAACATAAATAAACAAACATTAATATTGAGTACCGCCGTTTTTGAGGCCTGTTCACTTTCCTCGAAAGCTCCTAGTAAAGATGCTCTTGTGCGACCGGTAACGGCAACATCATCTGCAAAAGCAAGATGCTGTGTCAATCGATTATAGATCGTCTCCCCAAGATTCTAATGTCCCGTATCACTATTTCCAAAACAATGTTGAATAGGATGGGAGAAGAGCGATCTCCTTGTCTTGATCCTTCGTTGATAAGGAAACAACTGGACTTTGTGCTTTGTATTTTTACTTTTCATTGTGTTCCTTCCAAGGATATAAACACTAATCGTATCACTCTAATATTTAGAAACATACAATTACTAACATCTGAAAAAAAAACAAAAAAAAAAAACACCTGACTAAGAACAAGCTTACAATGAAAGAAACCTGATATTTCGAGTAGCTGTGATACATTGGCACATTTGAAACAAAGATAAGAGGGCCAATTATTGTACTTCAATCTCACAATCCGATTGAAAATTATCAATAACCACAGGAGAATCTACAGGGGGAATGAGGCTTTCGAAGCTTTTCTCCAATATAGAAAAATATGACAACAAAGAGACTACTTAAACATCATTTCATATGTGCAGTTTCTTTATTTTTATTGCAGAGTAATATACATGTATATAATGCCACCCAAAATTCAATCCTGTATTCGTTACTATCAAGTAGTAAATATGTAACTGACTGACTAAAAGACTGATGAATTGCTTCATTAGTTTCATCTTTGGAGCCCTCAGGCGCTCCCACTTCTCTAGTTGGTATGCTGAGTTGAAGTGATCCAGTTTTCCGACGGCAAAATCTCCTAGGCGTTTTCCTTTTCCGGATCTTTATAACAAAAAACAAGCTCAACTTCTTGGTCTGTTTACTCCTAGCTCCTCGGTCAATTCGTTCAACACGAGATCCCAGCCCACAAACCTTTTGATTCCTTCTCATAGAACTGTTTTCTTTAAAAAATCCTTTCCCATCCTCCGAGATGTACCTATACTTTGTAAAGTTTTGACAAAGCTATGAGCTCCAGTTTGAACCCGTTGATTAATTTATTACGAAGCATTGATTGCAAATTTTTCCACCTCGTCATCTGCTATTTCCCCCGCTGTTGTTGAACGCTATCATAGTATCCTCAGCAGGCGATATTATATAGTTATCAATGCTATAAAATCTTGATTGATTCATTGCACTCTTTCTAGCAGTTCTAGAATGAACAACATAAACAGGTTAATCATAAACAGGTTCATATATATTGAAATTATGTATTTTTAAAAATTATCGTTCAAATATACTTTAAAAAAATATTTTAATATTGACAATAACCTTTTTATTTCTCAGGTGTGGACTGAAAATTTAGAACAAATTGCATCATGGCAAGCACATCCCGTCAACGTTTACTCGATCGCAGTACTAGACGATACCCTCTATTCCTGTTCCAATGACGGGACCATCAAGTCCTGGCAGTATGGGACGTGGGAGTTCAAGAAAAACCTAATGGAAAACCAATCGGACGAGATCATCAAGCTGTGTGCCGAAGAGGGAAAGCTCTACGCAGGCAACACGCAAGGAGAGGTAGGTACATGTGGAACTTATATATTACGGTATTGTAAAAAAACATTTTTACGGTCTGCCTTTGATATTACTGTATACTAATATATTATTTTATGTTTCTTTTCGATTAGAGATAGTGTTCCCCAAAATCGGTCTTGGTTTGCACTTTTCAAAACCAGGACCGCCTAACTGTTGCAAAAAATCGATTTTTCAAAAATAAAAATTAGGGTAAAATAGTTACTGATACTTGACAACTTTAGTTACTGTATTTAAATAATTGGTATAACCAATATACTTTTTCCTTTAACTCTTCTAATTTTTCATTCGGACTTAGTTAGGTTTCTCCTATCTAAAAAATTACTGCAATATCTCTATAGTAATAAGCTAATAAGTAACTGCATGACTGTTGCGAGACTCTTGCGCAAGAACAAGACCAAGACCAAGATTAGTCTCCTTATCCTTTTCATGTAGCTTTTTTTAGTAGTCCTTCAACGATTTCTATCAAACCTAAGTACAATCTCTTCTAGGACATTAATAGTTTTAGAAAAACTTAGGTTCTATTAGAACGGATTTACAGTGAGGAGTTCCCGACCATGTGTCGGTGAATATGAGAGAATGTCATACAAATAGTATCGTGCGTCACTCTTTATGCAGAAATTAATGGAAACTTCTATAATAATTTATAAATATATGCAGATATTTTTGCATTTTAATAAATTATGAATTCAATTGAAGTTTATTAGTCTAGTTTTCGACTATGAAATAGAAAAGTCTCGTTTTGCATTTAGATTTTCTAATTTTGCATAGCTTAGGTTTCTCCTATCTAAAAAATTACAGTAATATCTCTATAGTAATAAGCTAATAATTATCTGCATGACTGTTGCGAGACTCTTGCTCAAGAACAAGACCAAGACCAAGACTAGTCTTGGTCTTGGTCATGGTCTCACTTTTGGGCAACACTAATTAGAGAATGATAAGGTCTCTGTAGGTCACAACTAAACATATTTGCATATGCCATCTTAAGGTGGTGTGTATAGTCGTTACTCCTCTTGAACCTTAAGTCAAAAAAGAATATCTTTATGAAACTTAATGAAATAAGATTCCTTAAAGCCAACTTCATTGCTGGGACGCTTCTATAAAATAATAATATTATTGTAAATTAAAACTGTCTTGTTACCTGATTTTCTCTCTCGATGCTCAATTGATACTATTACGCGTTTTCTCGCTAATGCTTAAAAGAAGAAACAAGAAATTGCCAAACAGGAGTCTTCTTTTTCTCATCGAGTTTCATATAAGTATTCCTTTATGGCAGAACATTGAAGTGGAGTTACAGGAACGTCTATGCAAACCACTCTTGGTGTCTGTTACCCAACTTGGGTCATCATTTTCTCTGAAGAATGACTCAGAGCTATTTAATTTTAATTTAACTTGGTAGTATTATTGGGGATGGGAATGCCAATCCCTTGTCTTTTTAGAATACAATAAATCAAAATCCGTTCTTCCAAAGAGACATCGTAACGTTGGAAGTTATTGCTTTGCTGGAACGTAAGCCCATACTATCAAATGTAAAATTTGAAGTGCAAACAAGGCAAAAATTTACTCCGTGAATTGTAATCAGTAACTCTTGTAATATTGTTATTCTATATTTGAAATACAGCAGTCACTAGTCAGGTGTTTTAGGGATTATGAGCGCAGACATTTTTATCACGTTGGGCACCAGAAAACCTAGATCCGCCAATGCTAATGAGTCGCAGCTTGGTGTGTTGTTAAAGGAAGGATAATAGAAGCTTCTTGCCAACTGGCAGCTTAATAAAAGATTTTAAGTTAATTGTTTATTTATTTAATTCAATTCATACTGTTAGAGCCAAATGTCTGACCTAAATTTTCGGAAGGCCATGATTTAAATATAGTCATTCAGAGACAGTATTAGTTTAATTAACAAAGCATAAGTTATAAATAATAAGAGAAAACATTTCTTTTTTTAACAATGAAGAAGTGATCTGATAGATTAATCTGAATGACCACTCTGTCAAGAGTAAACATTCGACGTTTTTCCAAAAGGTTACTCCATGCTTCAATTGAATTTTAATATTTATAAAAGTAAGATAGAGAGCGAAATATCTAGGTGAATATGGTGGCGGGTTCAAGTCTTTTTTTTTTTCATTTTATTTTATTTATTTATTTAGAGAGCCTCTTTATGTATGGCCTAGGCCACTCAGTGTCCGAATCTAAATGTTATGGGTTCGATTCCCACCTGGGTCGTTTGTATATATTTTTTAGTATTCTGGGGAAATGAAACTTGACATTTTCACTCTGATATCCACGCGGCAGTAATCTCAAGGCCGACTTACTGGACTAGTTGCCTCCCTAATGATAGAATAAACGAACAAAAATTCCAATAGCCCTTCTTAATTCAGACCATTAATCTACATCTTTCATATTGTAGAAAAATAATTTTACAGACGTAAATGGAGACCACTACTACTACCTGAATACCAATTTGGATTCCATTCACTACATTCAACCAAACACCAACTGCACAGAAACACGGACTGTAGTTCAATTGCACTAGAAGATACATTATACAATACTTGCGTATTCTTGGAAGTTTCTCAATAACACGACAGAGATACAAACCTAAATCACCTCCCTTCTACTTATTATCTCCTCCTTCTCTTCTTTCTTTCCAACAAGTTTTTCTCTGTCAGAAACGTCTTCTATATGCCCGATAAAGGCCGGCGTACGGCAGAGATCAAGTCTTACATCTTTGTTGAACATTATGTACACATTTGAAACACCATATTACCCTAACACATTAATTGCAATCTATGCAAACGATACAACTACTCTCACCACATATGGTGATATCACTGACCCTAAACGTTGTTTACAACAATTACATAGAAGTAACCAACTAAGGTGTCTGCTTTAGACCACACAATAGAGGCGAAAACATAAACAAGGCGAAATTAATAATATGAAATATAAATTATAAATACTAGCTCATTATAAAGAGGATGGATTGCTGAACATTTCCCTCGCTTGCAGTAGGCAGGTTTAGTTTATGAGATATTTTAATCCATTATCCATTTATTTTAATCTGCGATAAAACTCGTTATCGTTCCGTTTTCGACACCATTTTTTCTTTAGGTCTTCACATTAGGTCTCTACATTCTCTCCTACAGAAAAGATCTTTCAAAATGAGAAAAAGTAAATGCTTAATTTTATCTACTAAAACCATATGGATTTAGACTTCACAGATCTATGGGATACATAAAAAGACTCAAATTTCCAAGACTTAAAAGATACAAAACCAAAAAACTAAAAGACTCCTCACGCGTTCACCCTTGTACGTCGGTAACAAAACATTACATACAGACTTACACATACCTATGGTACAATATTACCTCATATAAATAATTCCATGACGAACTTAACGCACATACCAACGAACTTACTCAAGGTAGCGGCAACACAGGCTAGAAATGAACTGGACTGGTTAAAACATCACCTGAATTATTAATTTTTTTTATTTCAAGTTATGAGTAGGTGTCGATGGGTACCGACTTTCCTCATGACAGACATACCAATTGTGTCAATCAAAATATCATTCGTTTATTGTTACAGACTGAGTGACAGGTGTGAATATAAAAATAAAATTAAAAACCAATATTTTTTTTTTAGTTTCATGATAATGTATAAAACAATCAATGATATTATTAATTCATCCTTTCAAACCTATCCTTTTCAAGTTCTACGTTTAAATTTGGAAACTCAATTTATTCTATTAAGAAGCATGAATGGTCAGTAAAAATCAATTCCCATGACACGAAAACATCACAATGAACACACAGGAAGATCCCCTGATTCAATTTTCGCTTAAAAAGGGTTGTTAGGCGAGATTTGGCTCTGAACACCCGCCAAAGCCGGCCAAGAACAGCGCCAGATATTAATAAAAAACCAGTCTCATTAATTAGTGAAACCAAGTGAGCCCTAAAAACGATCTTTGATGTTATCTATAGAGAATTAAACTGCATCTATTCTGCCAACCTGGCGCAAACAACGTGGGACTTAATAAGGGATTAATAACATAAATTCCTAAATAAGGAATTTATATATTTATTTTACCAGGATAAATAACTGTTCTTATTTAGAAGATTACATTGATTTAACTGCATAAAGGATTAATTTGAACATAAACTTAGTAAAGAGACCTCTGCATTTACTAGAAAAATAAAAGAAGTATAGAAGTTGTTCCTCAGTCCTGAGAGGACAAGATGATCGAAAAAATCATTGCGATTGGAGTTCATATTGAGTTGGAAAAACTATTGACTTCTAAAAAGCCCTTGAACTGCAAGGAGTCCACTTCAAGGGTGATAAATGAAAATGGATATCTAACGAGAAGAGTGTATATGACAACGACTGATAGTAATATCTGTTTAGGAATATCTGGAACGGCTAAATAAACATTGAATTTTTGTCGCAGTCCCTTTTGTTTTCCTCATTTATTAGGATATTATCAGTTTATTAAAAATACTTGGTTATAAACTAATCTAAATTTAACTCTTATAAATACTATATTCCTTTCCATAAAGCTACATATCACTGTCAGTTTTTGCAACAGCAGAATTTTTTTTCGCAATCGAAAATATCTTAATTAGTTAGTTTATCCTTTGATCTGCTAACTTAGAAATAACAAGGAAAACATTTTTATGAAGACTTCTTAATTTAATCCTAGCGACACTTGATACCCTGTTGGCTGCCTCATTAAAGAATGAGTATTATTTTTTTTTTTTTTACGACTTGGATATGTGTATATCCGGTGGACTGGGCAATAAATCATTTCTAAGGGAGGATTTGAATACCCGCCATTGGCATTAACCCAGAGCTGCTGGTGCTATCTGTTCGGAGCATTTGGGACAGCCTTCTGGTTGAATGAGTCCGAAGCTGTTCAATGGGAAGATCTTGGCCGAACATAACTGCCAACAAGGTCTTCTGCGAAAATCCTTTAACTGTGATAA